TTTTTTGCATAGTGGTCTTAATTTACCACTGGTGAATTAAGTCACAGTACACCACAGTGTCAAAACTTCAGAGTAATTTTAAGTGCTATTTGAGAGTTTTAAATAAATGAATGTCAGAATGACTTACAAAACAATTATTCTGTCACTGTAGGAAGCAGTACAGAAGTTATTGGAGGACTTGCATGTTTACCATGAAAATTACGTTTCAGTTCTGAGATGTCTGCATGTTTTCACATCTTCTCTTCCCAAGTATCCTTTGGGCAAGCAGGTGATGTACTGTTATTCCGTTTTAGTGAAACCTGGTTTCTTTTGTTTCAAAGTATGACATCTGATTAAGTATTTATTCTTTGTTTATTGTTTTGCTGCTTTGCCCCCTGCTTCTTAAAATGGAGACAGATGCTTTCTTGCTATAGACAGAGGACAACAGCATGTGGTTTCTAGAGTGGTGTGGATAGTACCTTGTCAGTCAACAGGAAGGAGTTTCCAGGAGGGCGCAGAGGCTCAGATGAGCAAGAGTCTGCACATTGACTTTCCCACATCTGGGGTTATCTGTATGCACTGTAGACAGTGTATACTCTTCTACCACCTACTAGCTTGCTAATCAAATTCAGATGAAGAGGGTGAGTTTTAGCAGCCTTCTGGACAGAATGAAATGATAGTAAGGCAACAGTGATAATTGCTCTTAGTAGCCCTATTACTCTGATGTCATTAAATCCACTTTTTCATGCTAAGCAATTTCTTCTTCCACTAGAAGAGGAATATACTCTCGGTGTGTGCAATTGTCTGTCGGTCCTCAATGTATTCCACACTGTTTTTAGAATCTGTCACTAACTACAAAATTAGCAGGAACTGTGCCAGTATTTGAGAATAAAAAGATGATGTGTTAACTGGGGCATTTGATTGGAGTTCCTCTGTGTTCTCTGCGGTTATCTTCATCTGAATGTTAGTTGTTTAAAATCTAGTGCAGAGCAGCACATAGACTTCAGCAACAAGTTATCTTCATCTGAATTTTAGTTGTTTAAAACGTAGTGCAGAGCAGCACATAGACTTCAGCAACAGCTTAGTTCTGTAAGACTGTAAATGCTCTCATTTCTTTCGCATCTCTGAACAACAAGCTCCAAAGGAATTACGTATTACTTTGAAAAGCTTGTTGTAAGAGTTCCACGTTAACTTGTTTGTAAAACTCTTTATCCTTTCTTCACCTTCTGCATAACAGATCAGGGAGCTGCACTGTGCGTGTTTGGAAAACCGAGTGTGGGAGATAGAGGAGTATGAGTCATCTCTTCAGCTAGCAAGGTGATTTATTTTTTTTAATTTTTTTTTTCATTTTGTTTTAAGACCATGGTACACATGGAGAATATCAGTCACCAGTTACTCTGGAACTTAAAGCTGAGAGTATAACCTGTTTACAAGCTAGTTGTAGGAATGTTTGCAAGTATTATTGACTGCTATTTTCATTTTGTCTCTGTACCATTTTCTATGAAACTCAGCCAGGTTCTAATATATCTTATGTCTTGAGTAATTATAGAATCATAGACTGGCCTAGGCTGGAAGGGATCTTAGAGATCATCTAATCCAGCCTCCCTGTCGTGGGCAGGGACGCCTCTCAACTAGATCAGGCAACACATGAGGACCGAATTATGCTGAAACTACTGACATAGTGTGCGTGAATGAGAATGAGTTGGGTTTTGTTGTTTAAGGTATGATTGTGTTAAATGTTAACCAAATTATTAGTTTTAGTTGGCCTAAATTTTAATATGTTGTGAAAAATAGAATCTGTTCCAAAGGAGTGGCTGAGGCCTTTCTTAGTTTTTTTTTTAACTGCTTTCCTCTGCCTCTTTTTTCCTAGTAGCTTCGTTTGTACAGGGACCGAGTTAATTTTTTGTGTTATTGTGAGCTTAGGACTTCAGGAAAGCCTACACTTGTGTTGTCTGCCAGTGTTTAAAATGGAAAAGTCATCTTAAGCCAACTTTCTTAGTAGAAAACCCTTCAATTACAGTGTTGCAGCTACAGACTTTAAACATGCTTTATCATGGCAAGCAGCTGTTTGCTGATTGCTGCATTCCTTCAAATAATACATCTGTTCTGTTACACAAGGAGCTGATGCAACTCCGTTACCATACCTGCCTCTTCAAGAGCCTCTGAGCTTGTGAGGTTTGATGTGTCTGACAGTAAAAATGCATAGAAAAAACATGTCACTAGTGGGTGGGGGATAACTTTCTGGGCTCATGCACAAGGAAAAGTTCTCTTCAAACTGTGCCTTTGCACCAAGTGGTTCTTATGCATCTCCACCATGCTATGTTCTTTATGCTCATCCCTTTGAAAGTTTTACATGCTTGATTTGTCATTTCTACTGTTATTCCTTCTTAATCCTGAATCTCGACAGCCCTCAATCACCTATCAGCCCTTACCCACATACCTGTCATCTTCCTTTCCTGTGCTGTCTGTTCTGTAATCTCTAATAGCTCTTGGCCATTTTCTCCTCTCTTTTTTCTCCTCCTCTTTTTAAATTTGCGTTTTTTCGCTCTGAATTCATCTGCCTCTTCTCCTGAATCAGAGTTGATGTTGTCGTCAGATTCTGGCTTGCTCCCCCTTTATTCTTACCTGTTGGTCTCCCTCCTGTTTTTCCTCTGGTCCTGGCCCACACTGTGCAAGCTTCTGATAGAAATACATTGATCACAGTCATTCCTTTCATAAAATTTTTTTTTAAAATCCAGGAATTCTGTAATTCTTTGTAACAAAACTCCTTCAATACAGTTCCCTTAAATCCTCAGGATCCTAGCTGTGATTATTATTTTTTCAGCTTTTAACTCTGTTTTCCATTTTACATATACTTCCTCTTGTCTCTGCTTTTTCCACTTAGAATCTTACTGCTACCTTTTAGAAAATTATAAAATGTGATCCTTCCCCTCCAACTCACAGTCTTCTTTTTTTCTCCCTTTGCTCAGGTAGGGAAGTTGTTTACTGTTTCTTAATATCTCTGCCTTCCTTGGGGCCACGTCACCTGTTGATATCCTTATGTTTGCACATTTTCTGGAGTCCATCTTATTTTCCTTGTATTTAGAAAGTAAAAAAGAAGCTTTTGGTCATCTTATTTCTCATTTTCTAACAAAATCTCTCTTTTGCCCTTCATAAATTATGTTTGAATGTGGTTTTCAGTTGTTGCACTGAGTTCCTTTTGTGGTTGGTTTTTCCTCTACTTCAGCCTTTCCCCGGACTGGCTTTTATCCCTCCTGCTAAAAGTGCTGTTCCCCAAAGATGATGTTTCAGGTGATGTAACTTCAGCAATCTAAACAATAGTTACTCGACTTTAATCTAGTTGTCTAGAGCCAAAACAATACTACGGGGAGACAGGGAGAGTATGTGAGCTTTAGTTGACATTGGATTAATCCAATCAGAAGAGAGCCAAGATTTAGAGATGTTGGAGAATGTCTCACTTGATTGGCTATGGAGACCTAACTGGCTGGGACATCTCCTCAAGGTTTTATGTGGCAAAATTTGGAGGAGTGTTTGGCCTATTGTCTTCTGTCTAGATACTCTGCTCTAGTTTTGTCTGTTAATCATTGATGTCACATACTGCCTATCCCAGTCCCACTCTCCCTTGACTGTTGTAATTTTGTTGTTGACCAATCCTCTTTATCATTTAGAATCACAGAATCATTCAGGTTGGAAAAGACCCTTGGGATCATCGAGTCCAACCATTAACCCTACTCCACAAAGCTCACCCCTAAACCATATCCCCCAACACCACATCTAAATGACCTTTAAACACCTCCAGGGATGGTGACTCAACCATCTTCATGGGCAGCCTATTCCAATGGCTGACTACTCTTTTCTGTGAAAATTTTTTTCCTAATGTCCAGTCTAAACCTATCCTCTTGCGGTTTGAAGCCATTCACTCTTGTTCTGTTGCTAATTACCCATGAGAAGAGACCAGCACCAACCTCTCTACAACGTTCTTTCAGGTAGTTGTAGAGAGTGATGAGGTCTCCCCTTAGCCTCCTCTTCTTCAAACTAAATAGGCCCAGCTCCTTCAATTGCTCTTCAGAAGATTTATTCTCCAGGCCCTTCACCAGCTTCATTGCCCTCTTTTGCACCCGCTCCAGCACCTCGATATCTCTCTTGTACTGATGCACCCAAAACTAGACACAGTACTCGAGATGAGGCCCCATTAGTGCTGAGTAGAGGGGAACAATCACCTCCCTACTCCTGCTGGTCACACTATTTCTAATACAGGCCAGGATGCTGTTGGCCTTCTGAGCCACCTGGGCACACTGCTGGCTCATCTTCAGCTGCTTGTTCATTAGAATCCCCAAGTCCCTTTCTGCCAGGCAGCTCTCCAGCCACCTTCCCCAAGCCTGTAGCATTGCCTGGGGTTGTTGTGGCCAGATCGTGTACTTGGGCCACACTTTATTCAGATGCTTCCCCACTTCAGCACTCAGAAGGAGTTTTCTATGGCTTTCATTGTAGCTTCCTTTCTTCTCTTCATAGCTTGCCTCTCAATAATCAGAGACCGATTTATTTACTGTCTTTGGATGATCTGAGATCTTCCTTTCTGCTTTAAGAGAGATGGGGACCGGTCTGTTCAACCAAGTAACAAGTGATAGGACAAGAGGAAATGACCTCAAATTGCTCCAAGGGAGGTTTAGGTTGGACATTAGGAAGAATTTCTTTACTGAAGAAGTTGTCAGGCATTGGAATAGGTTGCCCAGGGCAGTAGTGGAGTCCGCTTCCCTGGAAGTATTTACGAGTATTTAAGAGTGTAAACACAGAGCTTAGGGACATGGTTTAGTCAGTGATAAGTTAATGATTGGAGCTGATGATCTTAAAGGTCTTTTCCAATCTAGGCAATTCTGTGGAATTAAAATCTTAACCCCACTCTCTGATATCTTGAATACCTCCCAGCAATCTCAAACCCAAAATGTTGCAAAGGATCCTCTACTGTTCCCCAATATGTGATAAATATCATCTTGCCTGTTCTTTGGACCCTATAATCCCATTGTTGTAAATACGATTTTCTAGAGCTTGCAACTTCTTTTGGAATATTTCTGAAATAAATTTCTTTACCAGACACAGAGCTCCAAATCTAGTTATCTTCTCTCCATCTTAAGTGTCTATTTATTGCAGTGTTTTCTCTGACCTGGAAGAAGGCGGTCTTGTTTACCCATTATATTCTACAAGACTGTTTCAAAATGTTTTCCAGCCTTTTGTGTGGTCAAGGTCACCCTTTGTGTTACTAACTCCTGATACTTTTCTGTCCAAAATGAGTGTATCTGAAGGCAACACCTGACTTGCAAATATCCATAATGCTGAATCCAATAAACTGAAGTTTCAGTTTCTAGACTTTACAAGCATTTAGCATCAACTGCTAGATAGAAACTAGAGCTTAAATTGCAGTTGCCCCTCCAGAATCCATAAAGCTTCCCCAGATTCTTCCAAATTCCTGCCTAGGTCTCTCTTGGTCAGTATTTAGGTAGCTCATATACTCCCTGGTCGCCATAATTTCATTCTTCCGTCATGCTCTCTTTTTTGTGTAGCTGTGCTTTTTGTCCTCTGAAGTCCTTAAACTTTTAGTACCTTTGTTTTGTAAAAGGCAGAGCAAAAACATACGAATAAGCTGGGAAGGGCTCCTGGTAACTGCAGCTGTTACAAGTGCCTCGTTGTTCAGAACCAGGGCGTTTAGCAATGGGAACTTGCCAGGATGCAGGAAAAATGTTACCTGCATGTCTGATGGTACTGGCTTGATGCAATGACTGTAACAACAATGACAGCACCAAGATTGCGGGTTCGATTCCCGCTCGGTCCCCATGTGTTGCCTGGTCTAGTCGAGAGGTGGCGTCCCTGCCCATGACAGGGAGGGTGGACTATAGATGATCTCTAAGGTCCCTTCCAGCCTAGGCCATTCTGTGATTCTATGATATTTGCAAGGACTTGCTTTGCTGTCTTTTAAATGAAGATTCTGAGACTGAGCAGTGCTTGGTAACATTTATAAAATGCCCTAATACCTAATGAAAAATGAGTAAATGCTGGGCTGGAGGTTGGGCTAGATGATCTCAAGAGGTCCCTTCTAACCTAAATGGTTCCAGGATTCTAGTGGTGCTTAGTTTTTTATATCAGTTAAATACAGAAAATAGCAATTTGTATTTTGTTTGAGAATCATACCAAATCACAGAGTAATGGATTTTATGGATGTGTGAACACATACTAATCTGATTTTTTTTTTGCCATTTCATATACCATTATTGAGAATGAGTTATGAATCCTACTTTTTTTTTAAAATCTGACTCACAGTTTCAAAAATTATAACTTTATCCAGCAAGTTTTTTTACATAGAATAGCAGAAAAGCTTTCACTGTCACTTCTGCAGGAGAAAATGTGAAGAATATCTATCCAAGTTGATTTCTTTCTGTTAATGACAGCAAAGAAAAAAAGTTACTGTAAGATTGAATGCTTGAAATTGCAGATGTTTTCTCTTTTAAAAGGAGTTCTTCACATTATTTTTTAACGTTTTTTCAACGAAGAACATTGAAAGCTGTTTCATCATTCTGCGTTTCAACTTCAGCCAACAATTGTGTCTTTTAGGATGTTGAATAAGTCTGATTTGGTAACCATGCTTCAGCAATGTGTGGAAATTTTTGTGTCATCTTCTGGAAAGGAGTTTGATAAGACAGTAGAGAAGTTGAAGGAGTTCTTGACCCAGTTTCAGCAGCTAGAAGGTGGGTGTGTATGATCATTCCACTGCACATTATATGAAAGCTCTTCTATAACCTGACCAACGGGTATCATTTTCCCTGGTGATATATCCTGTTATTGTATCAAACCACCAGATTTTTCAAGATTGTTTATTTAAATACACGCACAGAATTAGGAGATGTTGATATTCTTTAGTGGTACGTGGTTCATGCTTTTTACGATACGGAAGAGTGATGTAAGATAAGAAATTGGACAGATCAGCAAACATTACTGACTAAATCTGTCATATGTGTATTTTGAGCATTTTACTGGATGTTGCAACCATTAAAAACATTTAACAAATAAAACCAGGTACCGAAAGATAAATAGGAGCAGACTTCTTCGTGACGTGGTATTTAATCCAAACATATAAAAGTCCTTTCACCTGCACCTTCAGTCAAATTTGTAGGTGAGCTAGGACACCCAGCACCAGTTGTCAGGGCCCTGCTGACATGCTGTCACTTGTCAGACACGTTTATTTCATCATTCTTGGTAGAGAACATACTTGAAAATTTAGTAAGGCAAATGACTAACAGCCTTCCATTTTTCAGAGGCAGATTAACAGAAACAGCTGTCTGCCTTCTGAAACAGGAATGTGATATATTCCAGCATTCCTCTAGAACGGGAATTTCACTGCTTCCCTTGATCTACGGAGAAGCGCTCCCCTGTGATTCCCTTTTGGAGATGAAGTGTTTATCATCCAGTCTGCTTTATGCATATTAAATTAAGTTCTTTATCAGTGTGGTTGCTACCCAGCATTTGGACGTGTAGGCAATAAGTCAACAAATGCAGTCTGATATTAATTAAAGTAGTCACGTAATGTTCTAAGGTTAACCAAGGCTTGTTTAGAAAAATTGGCTTTTGCCTGCACCATGTATTTTTGAATAGATGTATTAATATAGCAGGGCTGTGGTACAGGAAATAGGTGATCACTTTGAAAAAGCTGTATCTGTCACTGAAGATACCAGCACTTAAGAATCTGAACTACAGTGGAAAACCTAAAGGTTCATCTACTGTGGGAAAAAAAAAATTGAAGAAAAAGACTTTTTAAGTGGTTGGAGTTTAACCTTGAGGGAATAAATAAAAAGAATAACTCTGGCAATTCAGGGAGACAAAAAAACCAATATTTATTTTCACTTAGGATTTGAAGATGTCTTTAAAACAGAGAAGGTCTGATGAATCCATGAATTAACCTAGTTTGTTTTCAAAGCAGATTTAAGCTATAATAAAAAAGTGAGAAGGGGAAGTGAAGATAAACTTTATATGATTAGGTTGCTGAGTTAGGTGACTTCTTCCTGTGTGTTTCCATGAACGTGTTGATCTTCAGCAGCAGTTTTAAGAAGTCTGCCAAAAATGATATATACCCAAATTTCCCACAGAGCCCTTAGCGTAAAAGGATATTTTTTAATTTTTATTTTTTAACACCGACAAAGTCCATCTTCCTGGCTGCCTAGTGACTGAAAAAAAAAAAAAAATTAAGCTTGAGAAGACAAAATATCCTTATGATCAGTCTATTTTGAGCTGAAGTAATTGATAAATATCTCAAAAAATCAGTGTAATAGTAGAGAGAGGAAATTCTCTGTTTTGAAGTCTTCAAAACAAATACAAATGTCCACAGGGCACTGGAAAATACCAACTCATTCTATGTAAGTCACCACAAAGCTTTAATATGTTGTGATTGTCACTGCTGATTGGAGCTTTACCTGTGATCTGCGTTTTCATAAGTATGGCAAGAAACCTTTTTGTTTTGGTTTTGACCATCATTCATCCTGGCATTGATTGTGCTTTTCCAGTTTTTCTTTGTTTTTACCTAAAAGTTACTAATTACTAGTGCAACTGATGAACAAACTACATGGTTACAAAAACAAAATGAAGATGAGGATAAAAGTGAACAACGGAACCGCTCAGCGTGCTTTTGGTTTGCTGCTCGGGCTGCAGTTTCTGGGTTAAGTAGGCAGAACTCATTTTTTAACATTTTTTTGCACATGAGAAGGAAATAATCTGCAGTGTGCGACTTTTTTGAACGCTCCTAAAACATCAGTAGTATTTGGTACTAATCTGTCCTACTGAAAAATGTTGAGAGTATGATTTAGGATGACATATGCGGAATTCAAGTGATGTGCAAGGCTTGTGCTCAGGGCTAAATTGCTTGGGTTAGTTACTTAATTACTGTTGGTTAAGCAGCACTGCAGACTTTTTTTAGCGATCTTAGAGTGAGAGAGTCAAAAGCTGCCTGTGTTCGGGTCTATGTGAACAAGTAACTGCACATTTCTCAGATTGCTTGAGTTAGGGGGTGTGTAGAGGTAGTCAGGAAAAGTTTACCCCACGTATCATACAAACCTTAGTTTTGTTCTAGTAGCAGAAGCTTTCCAAGAGCAAGACGTGTCCGTATCGTCACAAAAGGAGCTCCAGAAGAAGACAGACCTTTACCATCTTCAGAAGGTTAGGCCTGCGTAGGCTTTACTGACTAGATCCTTAACTGAATCTTTTAAGATGTAGTTGTCCGTGCTTAGTTCCTCCCAGCTTGCCTGGAGCTCTGATTAAGGGTTGTGTATAAGTAACTCTTCTTAAAAATGAATTAATAAGTACCAACTGTGTATGTCAGACGTACCTAATGCATAGAAGATGATAGAAAAATATCTGTCATAAACTAGGATTTGAAAATGCAAATTAGGGGGTTTCTCTGTATTTAACTTGTAAATTACACATTCGGCCAAACACATATTTCTCTGAATTTCCCAAACTCCTACCAGTTTGAGACTGAATACAAAAGTTTAAATAAAAATAACTGCACGATCACACTTTCAAACATCACCAGCAAAGACATGCCAGCAAAAATTAATTATACATGTTAAACATATGGATTGTGTTCTCCAGAGAATAACTACCTCCCATGTAGTTTTATGCACCACTTTTTTTTAAAGACTTTGTTGGAGTTGAAGGAATCAAGGCGGTCTAAGAAACTGACAAAGTTTGAAATGCTTCGTTTTGAAGTTGTTGACTATATAGACAGTCTGGTAAGGTGAGCTTTCCTGTTTTATGTTCCTGCATTAGCGTGCACTGTAAGTTGCAATAGAAATTTTGCTTATGTGGTAATCTTGTCAAAATTGTATCTTGGTCCCTCTGGTATGAAGCAGACTTTTTTCCCTTCTTATTCTTTCTTTGATGAGGGCTCTAAAAATTATTTTAAAAATTTTTTTTAAATCTCTTTTTCATAGATTAGTAGAAGTAGTTGGCACCTGAACTGACCAACTAATTTTGGCTATAGAAAAAAGTTGAGGGAGGACTGGGTATATGTGGCAAAATAATGTCAAGAGTCGTTACCCTAATCTTTGCTGATCTGTTCTACTTATGAAACTGCGTAGATGTCAAGTGTGATGTCTTGTCCGTTTTGGGAACTGTTTCGGTGAGCAAGGCCTAGCAGAGAGGCTTTAGGAGGCAGCTCTGTAGCACAAAATGTCAAAGGCTTAGGGTAGGGA